CAGGGACGTGCACACATAGACTCTAGGTAGTGCTTGAGCACCTGCCCGTTTTGCCCTCTGGACAGCAATGTGCCCTTTTGAAAGTTCGGTTTTTTTTTTTTTTTTTTACAGTGTACTGTATGTGGCTCATGGTAACATCGATCAATTCTGGATTAAAAGCTTCTAATATATACAACAATGCCCCAAATGCGCGTTGTAATTTTGTCAGACATCCCCACACGTGCCCCGCGGCACTCCCGTACGTGCACTGGCTGCAGCCCCTCCCTTCCCTGCTCTCAACGTGAAGGCGCGCAGAGCAGACAGTCAGTCACTCGGTCAGACAGGCCACGGCGGGTGTGTGGTGCAGCAGCACGCAGCAACACGATTAAAAGTGCCCTAGTGACGACCAAGTAAGTAACCACCAGGTAACAAATACAACGAGTGTATTGTTTAATCCCCTAAATCAGATGCCAAACTAAACTATAACTTCACTTCTTTTCTTGCATCCATCCATTTAGTCTCGTTGTGCACTTTGCAATTAAGACATACAATGTGCCTTTAATAAATCTCACACTACTAAGGCAGCCGGTGGTTCCACAAGGGGCGCCAATCCCGGGGGGGGGTTTCGTCCCCCCCTAGCTTCGGATTGGACCCCACTAAGACATTTAGAATAATAAAAATAAATGTTAAAATAATTAATTTTTTGATAATAAATCAGTAAAATCAGGCAAAAATAAGAATTAAATAACATAACCCTAACCTAACCTTAACCCTAAAACCGAAATAAAGTAACCAAAAAGAAACTAACAAAATCCGCCATTATCCGGCAAATTTTCGCGCACAATTTCGGCGCCACGACGACTCAGAAGGTGCCCTTTTTTTTTCTCTTGAGCACCTGCCCCTATAAATGTCTGTGCACGCCACTGGTTATAGTGCCATGCTTAACTTTGTATATACAGGCTTCAACAATTATTATGTAAGCATCATTTATAAAGGTTTGTTGCCTTAGTTCGACGAAGTCAATTAAAACTCAAGAGTCTAGTTAATATATAATTCCTGATAAACATAAAGTGTCTGTTTTTCTTCAGAGCCTTTCAGCAAATAATGTCTTGAGGAATTTCAACAATGTAACAGCAGGAGAACCTTGTTTTTCACACAACACTTACCCTGCAGTGCTTTTCACACTGAGGTCTAATGAAAATGAGAGAAGGCTGTTGTTTACACACGCCTTACTAAGAAAGATTCCACCAATGTAGGTCAAATGTTTCCCTGCTGTTTTTTCTAATGATGGTTTCCTGCACATGACTGATGAGGTGACTCATTAGATAAGAAGTGTCAGTGGAGAGATCTCATCTGTTAGGGTCAGCTGCACTGGCTCAATGAACTGATTCTCATCTGCAAACATATACAAGCATATAGTCATCATTTATTCTGACATGTTCCAAGGGTTGAACAAATATCCACCTAACACGTCCTCTTGTGCTCTATTAACTCTATGTTATATCTTGTTTGTTAAATATGTACAAAGCTGATTTGTAAAAAAATAAGAGAGTGGTAATTGTGCTGGTAAATGATTTTTTTAAACCTTTGGACAGATCTTTGTTTTCTGTTTAACCTTTTGTCTTGTCTTTATGCTAAGCTAAGCTAAGCTACCTGGCTTCTGCATTTGTAGCTATATACTTGGCTTGCAGACCTACAAGTGGTATTTGTTATTAATTTGACTTAACCATAAAAGTCTTATTGTTATTTTGAATTGAACCACAAAGCTAGCTCACCTTGAACAATAGTCTCAGAAGCTCAATCAAACTTTCCTTCCGTCCTAAGCCTAGCATAAACAGTACAGACTTTGCACATGGTGGAGAAACCTGCCTGTCTGACTTATTCACAGGTGACCTGAACCTGAATGTGGTTGCCATGGCTCTGTCCGGCTACACGGACGAGAAGTCCTCCCTGTGGAGGGAGATGTGCAGCTCTCTGAGGCTGCAGCTGAAGAACCCCTACCTCTGCGTCATGTTTGCCTTTCTCACCAGCGAACCTGGAGCCTATGATGGCGTGCTGGTATTACATCTCTTACTGTCATGGAATTTCATAGCTCTATTGCAAACAGGAAAGTTAATGAAAAGAAAGTGCTAAAGCTGGCACTCATTTCTCACGGAACAATGCCTGTTTTGTTCCCATTTGATAAAAAAAAAAAAGTGTCATATTCTTAACACGGTGATAAATAGGTCGTTAATATTCCAGCAGTCTTTATTGGGAAATCCTCAGGTGTACAGGAAGACATTTGTTTCGAGTCATAAAACACCTAGCAAAAAGTAGAAAACATAGACTCGGCCCTGTTTGTGCTCCTTCAGTTACATCAGATTCTGGCCACCAGCTGCTGCCTCATTTATTCCTCTCTTTAGATCTCTCCCGGCCCGAAGTGAAGACCCCACCGGGATGATAACATTTACTCAGTCACTTTGACCATCTTGGCTTTTAGAATAATTGGGTGTAATAATTGCCTTCAATCCCTTGACACAGAGCAGAGATTTTAAATGAACAAGCAGAGCATTTGTTTGTGCCAATATGGAGACACATATGCAATGTACTGTCAATTGTGATTTAGAAATGTATATTTTGTATTTGATTGATTTCAGTATGAGAGCAGTGTTGCTGTGCGGGACCGAGTAGCCTTTGCCTGTATGTTCCTCAGCGATGCACAGGTAAAACAAAACAAAGCACATATTTCCACACTGTTATCATTAGGGATGTAACGATACCAAAAACTCACGGTACGATAATATCGCAATTTAAAAAGTCCACGGTACGATATTTATCGCAATATTGAAAAATAAAAGGAAAAAAAATGTGATTTAAATTTTTTTTTTTTTTTATTATAAATCTGATTTGTACAGCATTTTAGTAGGATAGTAGTATTTTAAAGTGTCAACAATATAATAATCAGACCCTGCAATAGAATAAATCAAGTTTCACTTTAGTTTTTCAAGTAACTCAACTCTAACTCACTCACTCAGCATCATCAAGGTTATCTTTTAGGAATATGAGCATGTCCACATTTCCAGGTAGAAGCTGGGATGTTTGGGCGTTTACAATATCCCCTGCTGTGGAAAAAACTCTCTTGCTTGGTACTGATGTTGCTGGGACAGAGAGATATGCTTTGGCCATGGGTGACAGCAGTGGGTCAAACTGTGCATTGTCTCTCCACCACTTCAAAAACAATACAGTTTTTGCCAAGAAGGTGAGGCTTATTGACAGGGGAGATATACTGTTGGTACTTGTCAATGTCTCTAGGTATGTACATGTAGCCCTGTAAATACGATGTCCTTTTTTAATGTTATCTGTTGTTTTATGTTCATGTTGTAACCTAATTGCTGCCATGTTGGAAATGAAAAAGAGATCGATGGGACCATCTGGTTAAATAAAGGTTTAAAAAAAAAAAATCTCGCGGCCCGATATATCGTTACATCCCTACACTGTACCATATGCTCTATGTGTGATGACTACTTCCTGTCTTGCAGGGATAATAAATACATGGATCCTGATTTGAAACTTTTTCTAACACATATACAGATATACAAATAAATAAGTATACAGACTATCCGTGGGTCCTACCTGCAGCAGGTCACTCAGGTCCAGCAGCATGTCTGAAACACAGCTCAGGAAAACCAGCACAACCAGCGGGGGTCAGAGGAACAGCATTATATCCTTCAGAATAAAAGCAGGGGAGAGAGGATACGTGGCGTCCCCTCAGTGCGACACACCAGGTAGAGGCAGGCGGCGATCACGTGCTCCGTCTTCCTTCCTCGAGTCAGGTGCTTACTCACCACCATCTTGAAGAAGTTGAAGGCCGTGTCCAGGCAGTGTTGGTTCAGTTTCAGCTGACTGCCCAGCTGCTGGATCTGACGCTTCCCTAACACATGAAGGCAGCTGTCAGGTGGCTGACAGGGAGCTGACAGGAGGCTGACAGGGAGCTGACAGGAAGCTGACAGGAAGCTGAGAGGACGCTGACAGGAAGCTGACAGGGAGCTGACAGGAGGCTGACAGGAGGCTGAGAGGAGGCTGAGAGGAGGCTGAGAGGAAGCTAACAGGGAGCTGACAGGAGGCTGACAGGAAGCTGACAGGGAGCTGAGAGGAGGCTGACAGGGAGCTGGCAGGAGGCTGACAGGGAGCTGAGAGGGAGCTGGCAGGAGGCTGACAGGGAGCTGACAGGAGGCTGACAGGAGGCTGACAGGGAGCTGACAGGAGAGCTGACAGGAGCTGACAGGAGGCTGACAGGAGGCTGACAGGGAGCTGACAGGAGGCTGACAGGAAGCTGACAGGAAGCTGACAGGAATCTGACAGGAAGCTGACAGGAAGCTGAAGGTACTTACCAGCCTGCAGGGTCTGCGCTCTGGATTCTTTACCAACACTCGTATGAAAGCCAGAACCAAGCAGCGGCGCCTTCACTGGACCTACACACACACACACACACACACACACACACACACACACACACACACACACACACACACACACACACACACACACACACACACACACACACACATTTAGTGTATCTGTACAGTATGAGAACATGAGGATTCAGTGTCTCTGTAGATTAGATTAGAATCTGTAATGACCACACAGCCAGGCTGGTGGAATTTGTGTTCTGTGCAGATTATTACAGCTTGTTCCATTCAATTCAACATACAATAAACAGACAATAAAAAGTACAACACACAGCACAGGGCAAATACATACATCATGACATATACTGTATACATAAAGTTCAAGGTGTGATGGATTGTGATTCTTCATTAGGGTTATTTAGAGTCCATTTAGTGTCCGTATTGCAAAGGGGAGAAGCTGTTTTGGAAGCGGGTGGTTTTGGTGGACAGTGACCTACAGAATGAAAACATGAGGATTGAGTGTCTCTGGACAGTATGAGGACATGTCTCTGGGCAGTATGAGGACATGTCTCTGAACAGTATGAGGACATGTTTCTGGACAGTATGAGGACATGAGGATGTGTGTGTCTCACCGTCAGCGGAGACAAACTGTCCCACTGCAGAGGACACGCCCCCCGACCCCTCTACGAACTGGACCTCGGAGACGATGATGTTGTCCTCGAGGACAGACCCGCAGCTGGTACAGACAGCGCTGCCTCGGGCCTGGTCCACGTCAATGTCCCCCCCCCCACAGCTCCTGCAGACCCTCATGGTGAGGTCAGAGGTCAACCT